CACGCTCTCGCTCCCGGAGCTCTCACCTCTACCACAGACGCGCGTGGCGGGACGTCTCCCCCGCCGCCCGAGAGCCACTCACACGCCCAGGCCGGGATTCTCACCCGGTCCGCGCCCCTTCCCTTTCTACAGCCAGGCCCGCCAAAATTCCAACTAGACGCCACCCGGTCTCTGACGTTAGACGCACGCCGGCTAGAGGTGAGCTGATTGGCTGAGTCAGAGCCCTTGGCGGAAACGACTGGGGAGGGGGGTGGGGGAACGATTCGTACGTAGAGCAGCCTGATTGGTTCACGTGACCTGTGTCCTCTTTGTTGGGGGCAAGGGAACTTCCGGTCGGTGAAGTCTTGGGCACCTTTAGGTAAAATAAAGTGTTTTGGTGTCCTCCAGCGCCACGAAGTGTAAGTATTCTCAGATGGTATTTTTACATGAGGTCAAAACTCAGTTCCTAACCCTCTTCGGGCCTATGTCATCCAATCCTGAGCCTCATTTTCTCTTTCTATTGCCTCAGGTATAGAAAGTGTTGAACAAAGACGTGACCCATATTCTAGGAATTTACAGTCTAATTTGGTAGATAAGATGTATGCGTAATTAACATAAGGCGACTACTAATGAGTACCAATTTTGTGGAAGAGGAGGCAACAAAGGAGACGAGCGAGAAACATTAAAATAAGTAGGTAAAACGAATTATGTGGATGATGAACTCCAGGTCAAGTTTATTTTTATTTTTATAAAAAGACCGTGTTTGAGCAGGTGGGGGAGGAGCAGTTAGATGTATGGAGAAAAGAGTGGCTACGTGCTTAGACTCTAGTTAATTAAGACTGTTAGATTTTTAACAGCCACATACTAACTGTGCAACCTTGGGTAAATTACTTAACCTCTCAGAGCCTCAACTTACTCATCTGCAAAGTGGATAGTAATAGCTATTTTATAGAACATTGTGAGGATTGAGAAAACCTTGAAAATACACATACAATATTCTTACTACTTCCTTCGTTTTGTTTTTTTGTTAATCCTCACCTGAGGGTATTTTTTTCCTTTGCTTTTTAGAGAGTGGAAGGATGGGAGGAGGGAGGGAGAGAGGGAGGGGAGAGAGAGGGAGGGAGGGAGGGAAGGAGGGAGGGAGAGAGAGAGAGATTGGTTGCCTCCCACAGGCACCCCAACTGGGGCAGGGATGGGACCTGCAACCCAGTTACCGTGCCCTTGACCAGGAATCAAACCTGCGACCCTGCAGTGCCTGGGACCAGGCACTATCCACTTCGCAACAGTTACTACTTTATAGGCTTTGCTGAGGGAGATTTGGCTACAAAGACAGGTACTCAGGAACTGAATGTACCAGAAACTGAAAGCAGAGCACATTAGAAAATTGTCATAGTCCCAGGCTGTAAGAGTTGAAGGGAAGGGACAAATAGGAAACATTATGAAGGAAAACCTGTCTGCTTTTGTAACTGACCAAAGGAAAGTTACTTTTGGCAGGAAAAGGAGAGGACAGTGGCCATGTTGGCAATAACCAGGAGAAACTGGCAGAATTGTAGAAATGGACTAGAAGTCTAAAGGAATCTATCATCTCTTTCCCTTGTTTTGGACAGGGGAAGAGATGATAAATTCAGGCGGTGGGGATGCTCTGGAGATTTCAGCAAGTGCCTTTAGATTTGTGATTGAAGCCAGAGGGACATAGCAGGGCTTCAAGTATAGGGTTTGGGATGGTTTAGTGAATACAGTTGAGTTCTCTTAAGTAGAGATTGTGAAGCAGAATATCTGAGAATGTTTACCGAGTTAATGTACCAGATACTTAAATTAATTCTTCCATCCTTAGGCCCAGCAGGAGGCAATGCTATTCAAAATCAAAAAATCAGACCTTCTACTGGGAGAAATAGCCACTTTTCACAGCCCCCACCCCCCACCTCCCTGTAGAAATCTGTTTACATTTGCCTTTACGTCTGCCAAGCTGTATGGTGCAGGACTCTCTAGAGCAGTGGTTCTCAACCTTGGCTGCCCATTAGAATCACCTGGGAATCTTTTTAAAATCCTGATTTCTGGGCCTCGTCCTCTGGAAATTCTGTTTCTTTGTTATGGGGTGAGGCCATAACATTAGTAACAAAGAAACAGAATTTCCAGAGGATGAGGCCCAGAAATCAGGATTTTAAAAAGATTCCCAGGTGATTCTAATGGGCAGCCAAGGTTGAGAACCACTGCTCTAGAGCCTCATCCCAAACTTGAATTTGTCCAACAAACTGGACAAAGACCCTGTACTGAGAAAAATGTTATCCTTGATCAGAGGCAACCCTCTACTTAGAGATGAATGGCCCTACTAAGAAAGGGGAAAACCCAAGCTACTTAATTTTCATAACAGAATATTGTCTTTGCTGCTCAAATAAATGTCTATTGATTTTCAACCAATCTAGAGGTTACTTTAAACAGCAGAGTATGATATTTTACAAAGGGAAACCAATAAAAAATGCTATCCTTGGTGGTTTCAATGAGCTCATTAGAATGTTCAACTCATTGGTTGTGCTGGGTTAATGACTACAATATATATTTTATGTGAAATATCCAAGATTATAGCTCCATATATTTAAAGGACAAAATTGCTACACAAATCTCTCAGCTCGCTGAGAGCTTCTGAATTAATATTTTGTATTATACTTCACATCTTTGCAATTACTTAGCTAGAAAAAAATAATTAAATTACTCAGCAATGACCAAATTTTCATAGCAAGAGTATTTAATGTAATTTCAATAATTTTTAAATGACATACTATGTAAGTCAAAGGATGCCAAAGAGTGTTAAATTATTTCTACTTTTTATTTGCCTTTCATAGCAAAGCAGTTTGGGTACCTTTTATTGCTCCATTAAAATATTTGAATATCAGTTCATATACTTGATTTCTGATGATGGCAAAATAAATTTGACATTTCATTAAAGGCAATTCCAAGTTAGCCCTTTTATTATAGGTCAGATGGAAGTGTTAGCCAGTCTTCACAAGAATCTTGATTTTATGATGCACACAATACATTTTATCTGTGTTCGTATTAAATAATCATAGTTCAAAGTTATTTTTTAGAAAATAATACTTTATTTTTTTTAGAACAATGAAAGGATTACAGAAAAATTGAGTGGAAAGAACAGAGTTCTCATATAGCCCCTTCAACACATAATTTCCCGTTATTAACATCTTGCATTAGTATGGGACATTTATTACAATTGTACATTATTACAGTATTGATACATTATTATTAATCTAAGTTCATAGTTTACATTAGGGTGCTCTCTTTATGTTATACATTCATGCAGAATCGTTTAACTGCCCTAAAACTCCTTTGTCCTCTTACCTATTCACCCTTCCTTCCCAACCCCCAACTCTTGAAAACCACTAATCCTTTTACTGTCTCTATAGTTTTGCCTTTTCCAGAATGTTATATAGTTGGAATCATACAGTATGTAACCTTTTCAGATTGGCTTCTTTCACATAGCAATATGCATTTAAGGTTCCTCCTTAAACTATGTCTTTCCATGGTTTCATAGCTCATTTCTTTTTAGCACTGAATAATATTCCATTGTCTGGATGTATCACAGTTTATCTTTTACCTATTGAAAGGCATCTTGGTTGCTTTCAAGTTTTGGCAATTATGAGTAAAGTTATTATAAACATTCATGTGCAGGTTCTGTGGGGAAATAAGTTTTCAATTCAATTGGGTAAATGCCAAGGATTGCATGCCTGGTTTCCCAAGAAATTGCCAAGCTGTCTTCCAAAGTACTATTTTGCATTTCCACCAACAATAAGTGTGAGTTCCTGTTGTTCCATGTCCTTGCCAGCATGTGGTGTTGTTGTTGTTTTGGATTTTAGCCATTTAATAAGTGTGTGGTAGCATCTCGTTTTAATTTGCAATTCCCTAATGACATATACTATTGAGCATCTTTTCATATGCTTATTAGCCTTCTGTATATTTTCTTTGGTGAGGTACCTATTTTTCCCATTTAAAAAATTGGGTTGTTTTATTACTGTTGAGTCTTGAGAGTTCTTTATATTTTGGATACTAGTCCTTCATCAGATATCTGTTTTATAAAGATCTATTCCCAGTCTGTGGCTTGAGTTAGTTTTTGTAGAAGGTGTAAGGTCTGTGTATAGATTCAGTTTTTTTTTCTTTTGCACATGGATGTCCAGTTGTGCCAGCACCATTTGTTAAAAATACTATCCTTTCTCCATAAAATTGCTTTTTCTCCTCTGTCAAAGACCAGTGAACTCTCTGGGTCTATTTCTGGGCTTGCTATTCTGTTCCTTTGATATATTTGTCTATTCTTTCACCAGCACCATGCTATCTTGATTATTATAGCTTTATAGTATTTCTTGAACTCTGGTAGTAGCCTCCAATTTTATTCTCCTGCAATACTGTGTTGGCCATTCTGAAGGTCTTTTGCCTCTGTATAAATTTTATAATCAGTTTGTTGATATCTACAAAATAACTTATTGAGATTTTGATTGTGATCATGTGGAATCTATAGATCAGGGTGGGAAGAATTGACATCTCAATACTGAGTCTCCCTTTACGTGAATGTGGAGTATCTTTCCACTTACTTAGTTCTTTGAGTTCTTTCATCAGATCTTGTACATATTTTATTCTATTTATACCTATTTCACGTTTTGGTGCTCATATAAATGTTACTGTGCTTTTTAATTTCAAGTTCCAATTATTCACTGCTGGTGATATTAGTAATTTGTGTCTTAAAATTTTAGTTAACCTGGCTAGAGCTTTGCCAATTTTATAGATAATTTCAAAGAATCAGTTTTTGGTTTTACTGATTTTTCTCTATTGATTTCCTGGTTTCAATTTAACTGATTTCCGCCCTAATTTTTATTATTTATTTTCTTCTGCTGTTTGGGGGGGTTAATTTACCATTCTTTTTTTAGTTACTTAAAGTGGAAGCTTAGATTATTGATTTTAGATCTTTCTTCTTTTCTATATAGGCATTCAATGCTATAGGTTTCCTGCTAAGCATTGCTTTTGCTTCATTCCCGAAATATTGATGTTATATTTTCATTTTATTTGTTAAAATTTCTCTTGAGACTTTCTCAACCCATGTACTACATACAAGTGTGTTATTTAATCTCCAGGTGTTTGGAGGATTTCTAGGTATCTCAGAGTTGTGACCTACTTAATATTTTTACTTGAACAAAGTAAAAGAATATCCCCCAAAACTTAAATGTAAAACCATTTGGTTTGCTTTTCTATTTTAGATAATATAGAAATCTATTTTCCCTGGTATAAAGTAGTAGAGAAAAATTAAACTAGAAGCCTTAAGCAAGAAATTAAAAGTAAAATTTTCATAATTAATTTTAGAAATGTTTTTAAGCAAACATTCTCCCTGGGCTGAAGTGGGAAAATCTTTTAATCTAAGTTGCTATTGAATTTGTACAGTGTGTTCTCTTGGCATGAAGGCATAATGAACTATTTTGATTTCATTTCTCTTTGATTTCCTGTTTGATTCCATATGTGTGTGTATATGAGTGTGTTAAATCAAGTTTGTCTAGGAGAGATTCTTATGACAAAGCCAAACAGAAGATATTTTCATTTTCTGTTAAATGTTATAGGCTCTAGATACATAGGTTATTGTTTACTTTTATGGCAGGCCCAGTATTAGCTAATAACTGTAGGTTCACAAAATATGGCACATCCCTATGTTTTCACCTCCTTAGCTAGAACACTTTCTAATTCAAACAACACATACTGGTCTCTAGTAAAGGGATTTGCTCATATTTATAGAATTAACAGAACAGATCTGAATCAAGCAATAAGCTTATATGAAGCTGAATCCAGAAAATGCATCCTATGAAATTAGCTAATCACATATGACAATGTGAAAGAGTCATAAGCAAAATTTTATTTTGCAATAACTTTTTTATGGTTGTGATTATATAGCCTAATCTAGGAAGAGAATGAATAAATAGTGGTTCTTTTTAGAAATGAATAAATTTTCTACTGTACAAGCCCACATACCTGCAGCACAATGAAAGAATAAAGATGACTTATTTGCACTGTGGTTATATCAAATCCAGTGACCCTAATGTATCCACTTCATCTAGGCCAAAATTTTTCCCTTTGTCCTGATGGCCAAGTAAAAGCTCAGAGTGCTCATATGAAAAAAGCCACATTATAACTTTGGTACAACTGTGGCTGCAGTAGAACTACAACATACACATATATACATAACCCAAATAGGTTTGTCTTAAGTGGAGGAAGAAAAATAATAATATAATTTATTTCACAAATACTTCAGAGATCTTTTTCTTGAAGAAATCTGTGACCACTTCATTTTTCCTGCCTATTTAAAAGGTAAAGTTTACCAGTAATACTTCTTCCATATAATTACATTTATTATGTCCCATGATGTCATACCCTCATTAACTGCATGAACAAATAGTTCAATGCTCACCTAAACTGAACATTTAAAGAAATGATTCTATTATCAGAAGAATGGTATGTTAAGAATTCTATTTTGCGATTTTATGGAAATCCACACAAAAATATGTCCTATATGGAACATACTGGTTTTCTTTCTCCTAAAACAAACATAATGAGCCAAAATATTTGAGTGAAAACAAATAACACAAAAGTAGAACTCTTGGAGGAAAGAAATCTGACATTTACCAGCAGTTTGGGGGAGGCGAAATGTCAACACTTAGATGATGCAGTCCATGACATGAATTTGTAATGTATCTATGTCAGGCAGGACTTCTCCACATTTGGGGCAAGAATGAACTGGTCTATTTTGCTGCTGCTGTTGCTGCCAGTTACTACCATCAGCTCCTGAGAATAAGCATTAAGTGAAATATTATTCCATTCCTTCCATGTTACAAGCAGTCTTACTTGATGGACTTTAATAACAGATGGTTAATTTTAACATCAGTTAAACATTGTAATCTATACCTAGTAGGAAGTGAATCTAGGTCATTTTTGTTTTTTACTGAAGTAATCTATACACACACAGAAAATCTCCAAAAGTAGTACCTGCTTCCCTATTATTTTAAGATTTAGGCTTTATTCTGGGTTCTAGGTACATGAAAATACATGGTTTTATTTCTAGATACCAGGAAATAGATGCTCTAGTAAAACCTAGAATATTTGAGAGAAGAAAGACATAGATGAGGATATAAGCTAAAGAGGAGAGATGTAGAGAAAATGATGAGAAAGCAGGGAGAGGTGGTATCCTAGAACAGTATGTATCTTCCTAGAAGCAAAGACAATAATTGTGTTAATTCAGCAAATACTTTTGAGTACCCTGTGAGATGGAGGAGAGGGACACAGATATGATGGGGGTGTGAGACAAGAAAAGTGACAGCGTGGCATGGGAGGGAGGTGCCATGGCTGTGTCATGCACAAGGTGGTTTAGTGGGAAGACAGAAAGGCACCTGGCTCAGACTGCTGTGTGCAGACAAGGCCCCCTGATTGAGGCTGACTCTACTTGAGAGGAGGCCTAAGAATGAATAAGGGTTATCCAGGTAAAGTAAGTGAGGAGAAAGAATTGAAGAATTATTTCCCCCAATTTTGGAATGGGAATGAGTCTAAATCAAAGAATGCTTGAAATGAGCATTGACTCTAGGTAGGTCCCACATGAGTAAACTGTGGTCAGTGCTGGAAATGATTTCTGGCTCCCGGGGCATCTCCTTCATCTGACCTTTCTGGACAAATGCAGACCATTTTGGTTTTGTAGCGTCTCCACACAGATCTCCAGAATTTCATTCAAATCCCCAAATGTTTGTTTTTTTGGAAGATGACTGGAGGTAACGTTTAACATGGCTATTTGCTTCTGAGCATATTTGAATTGAAAAACATTTGAGACTATTATAGAAAGTCTGTGTTTAGCAAACTTTAGAAGTACCCTTGAATAGAAATATTGATCACAGGCATGATTTCTAAAGCAGGGAGATTTCTTCTCCTGCCCCCTCGCCCCCTTTTATTGAATTTATTGGGATGACACTGGTCAACAAATCATATAGGTTTCAGGTGCACAATTCCACAACACACATCTGCACACTACATGGTGTGTCCACCAGCCCCCTCACCCCCCATACTCTCCTTCACTGCCACTCCCACACTCTGCTCTGGCACCCCCACATTGTTGTCCCTGTAGCAGGGAGCTTTCTAATGGTCTCATTGTTCTACATTAGGGATCAGTAAACTTTTTCTGTAAAGGGCCAGAGAATAAATACAGTGGGGCCTTGACTTACGAGTTTAATTCGTTCCGAGACCGAGCTCGTTAAGGAGCTCGTTAACTCAAATTACTCTATCAACTCAATGCAAAAAAATCAGCCGAGAGATAGCTGGTCAAGGCCCCACTGTACAGGGTGGGGCAAAAGTAGGTTTATACTTGTTTGAATGGAAAATAATACAATAATTAAGAAATAATACAAGAATAAATTCTGTTTCACATACTCACAACTATAAACCTACTTTTGCCCCACCCTATATTTTAGACTTTGCATGTCATATAATTTCTGTCACAGCTACTCAACTCTGCTGCTATAGCATGAAAGTAGCCAAAGACAATAAGTCAACAAAAGTGCATGACTATGTCCCAATAAAACTTTATTTATTCAAACAGGGCAGATTTGGCCTGTGAACTGCAGTTTGTCAAACCCTGCTCTAGAGAACAACCAGCCAACTCTCAGGGATTGTTGACTTTCATTTAAAGTTCCATTGCATTAAAGTGTGCCTTTTTTTTTTTTTTTTTTTTTTGTCCTAGCCTAGGTTTAAAGACTCAGACTTGGGATTATGGGTTCCCTCTACCTCCTGGCTCTTCACTATAAAATAAGCTTAGTCAGTTTTACACTCATTTCAGCCTTTGCCCTTTCGTTCTCATACTGAACTTATCTAAATCCTAGCTTAAAGGTCAAGCTTACAGTCACATCTTTTCAAAGCCTATCTCAACTTGTCTGGCCCTTAATGATCATCCTTTCTTCTTATCGTTAGCAGTATTATTTCTATTACTGAAGTCTTATCTTGTATTATGAATTCATATTTGTATGTGCACATCCTATCTCTCCCACTAGACCAGTGGTTCTCAACCTTCCTAATGCCGCGACCCTTTAATACAGTTCCTCATTTTGTGGTGACCCCCAACCATAAAATTATTTTCGTTGTTACTTCATAACTGTAATGTTGCTACTGTTATGAATCGTAATGTAAATATCTGATATGCAGGATGTATTTTCATTGTTACAAATTGAACATAATTAAAGCATAGTGATTAATCACAAAAACAATATGTAATTATATATGTGTTTTCTGATGGTCTTAGGCGACCCCTGTGAAAGGGTCGTTCGCCCCCCCCCCCCCCCCCCCAACAAAAGGTGTCTCAACCCACAGGTTGAGAACCGCTGCACTGGACCATAAGCCCTCACGGATCTGACCATGATTTATGCCCATTTGTTTCCTTGTTCTCAGCCAGTGACCTAGACCAGATTAAACACTTAGATGGCTGCTGCTGCTGATATTACTGAGAGGGGCTCCTATTTAAGGCAGCTTTGTTAGAAAATGAAAAAAAAAAAAATCTTAAGACATCTTATCTCTGGAATATTGTTTTTTATAAAACAAAACTTATTAGGAATAAATTTACACTTTGTGATGATTTTTAGATTATAAATGTAAACCAAAGAGTGTTTGACCAATTCTTGTTTCAATTCTTTTTCATGTAAATACGCATTTGTCTTATATAGTTATAATGAATGGAAATCGTCCCTTAAAAATCCAGGTGCAAGAGATCACCCTTTTGACTAAAGACAAGTGTGTAGGTACTTCTAGATATGAGGTATATTGATGTTCCCAGGATATTTAAAATTAGGTTAGAGAAAATGCATAGCGGTGCTCAAGTGAGTAGATGCAGCTTTCAGAGAACATAGCTTTACCCACTGATCCTAAAAATGCCTGAGGCTCTTATTTATGCCAGTTCACATGCTGCTACCTCTGCCCCGTGAATACTATGTTTACTTGTACCCTGAATTACTACTGCTAATATTTACTTTAGCCTATTTTTTTTCCTGTAAAAGAATTTTGGTGGTGGTGGTAAGGGGAATAGGAGGAGGTGGAAGGTAAAAGGGGTACTCAGAGGCATTTCCCCAAGATTTAACATTTAACTATACATACTAATATTACTTCCTTGCTGCTGATAACATTGTGATCTAGTTCCATTTCAGTAGTCAGTTGCTATATGGAAGGGGCAGACTTGTCCAGCGTTAAAAAAGAATTTAAAGAAATTTCACAGTTTTATGTGAAATTTAGGATGACATCCTAAACCCAGAGTCTTCTTACTGGCATTATATTAACTTTTCTTCTTGTCATGTCAGTCTTTGATCCTTTGAGTGTTGTTGTTTTTTCCATATCTAGAATCAAGGACACACTTCCCTTTTTAGTACTAAGACCGTGATTTATTACAAATTACAGAATATTATTACTAGTGTATTAAAACCATATAAACATAGCATCTTTTAATTAAGTGTCATGATCAATTTCATTCAGGAAATTAAAATCTGTTTGTAGTACATAATTAATGACAGTATTTCATGCAGTACCATGCAGTTAGGTTAAGGGACAGATAACCTTGGGTTCCATGAGGCTCATATAGCCTTGGGTTTGATGGTCCACTTCTGCCCCTAATTCACCTTGTGATCCTGAGTAATTTAACCTTGCCTTCTGTAAGGTAGTGATGATATATATATCTGATAGAATTTTGTGAGGATTACATGAAATAATGTATATGAATGAAATGATCAGCACAGGGACCACTCATAGTAAACTCTCAATAAATGGTAACAGATGGTGGGTGAAGATATATGCTCTGAGAGAGCTTATTTAAAAGAGACTTAACTGTTTATTTAGAACATATAAATAATTATAATAAACTAGAGGCCCGGTACACAAAAATTCATGCACTGGCAGGGGGTCCCTCAGCCCATCCTGCCCCCTCCTCACAGTCCAAGAGTCCTCAGGGGATGTCCTATTGACGGCTTAGGCCCACTCCCCATGGGCCTAAGCCGTAGTCTGGCCTCCCTCTTCGGAAGGTGACCAGCCGATCAGGGGAAGGCACCGCCCTCAGCACACGCTGCGGCTGCCTGCCCTCGGCTTTCGCAGCCACTGTGGCTTTGTCAGGAAGGACGTTTGGCTCTCCAGTCTAATTAGCATATTATGCTTTTATTACTATAGATAGTATTATAGATAGCAGGTAAGTACTAAAACAGGAATAAAGTACTTTGGAAATTCAGGAGGGAGACATCACATTCTGTTGGTATCATAAAGCTGGTATTTGAAATGGTTTTTAAAGATGGGATGAGAGAGACTGGAGGAATACAAGGATATGAGGGAAGGGCATCTACATGAAGGATACTCCATAAACAAGTAAATGTAGGTATACAAGTTTATGACAAGTTCAAGGAACAAGGAATGATTTAGTTGGCTAATTGCTGTAGGGGAATGCAGTGAGAGAAGGCTTAAAAGTTTGGCTCTGCCAGCCCTTAACTGTCAGCATGAAGAGTCTGGTCTGGATTCAATAGGTAATGGATGGAGAGCGGAGTACTATGGAAATAGGCTGATGGGTACTACATTTTTTGATAGCTTGATTTGAAATCCATTATATAGGATGTAGGTGAATTTTTTTTCTAGCATCTTCTTCAAGGATAGTTATTCCCTGGATTCTTGAAAGCTTAAAATCACACATGACTCACCTCTTTGAACGAGGTAGTCCTGTTGGTCAGGGTCATTGGTTCTGGCTCCATGACGGCTCTGCATTTCCATCAAGGACTCCCTGCTGGGATTAAAAGCAATACTCTATGTGATGTTCTAAAATCCTGAAACATGACAACATTAAGCACACATTCAGTAGAAATATGAGAAAAAAAAGAGCTGAACTGTATACAATGCCAAGGTGCATAGAAACCAGAACTTAAGACTAACTTGAGTTGGAAATATTATTGGAAACACTACAGTGCAATTAAACAGAATTAATTAAATCTAAACATATCTACACAATTCAAAAAATCACAATGTTATGTAAAGCAAGTTGCAAAACAATATTTGTAGTGATCATTTTGTACGTTAAGCATAAAGAAATTAGTATTAATTTATTTTAAGATATTATATAGATGAGTATGTATGTAAAAATATAAAACATGGGGATGCTACCCACAAAATTCCAGGCAGTATGGGGAAAGGGAGAGAGAAATATAATGCAGGCTGGGGAACAACAAGACTTCAATCTCATCTGCAATAAAAATATACTTTTTTCTTTTAATAAAAATATACTTGAAGCAAATAAAAGAAATATGAGTAACTGTCAATTCTGGATGGGATTTATATTGGTGTGTATTTTGATCTCTGTATTTTTATTTTTCTACATATTTCAATTTTTTCTCAAAATGAAAATGTAGAGGACAGAAGTAACTTAGCAGTATTTCTTTTAAGATATATTACGGATTTATTTAAAGTGTTAGGACTATTTCATCTATAACAATGGCAAGATATGACTTTGAAACTCAGTGTCATGTTTTTACAGCTAATCTAAAAGCAAAGACTTTGATCAGGTTTCCACAAAACACTACTGAGTCTTGTAAGTCAAACTAAGCATAGGCACCCAAGTGAAGTGCAGCCAGAGATTCTTACAGCTCAAATTAGGAACCATCTTTGACAGGCCCCATGTTGAAATATGCTCTGTCTTCCCTTCACCTTACCTGCCTCCATCTTCAAAAACATTATTGTCTTTCAGCAAAATTGCCAGCTGCAATGCCAGTTGCTCCTTTTCTTCATGAATCTTCTCTCTTGCTGCTCTTTCAGCATGAAAGTCCGAGCAGTAAACCTCCATCTGTTAGAGGAAGAAAGAGACAGCAGTTACTATCTAGATGAGGTGGATTCTCTGTAGCTCACCTGTTGAGGTGAACAGGCATTGCTGCAGCTGTGGTATGTCTATGACAGGTACATGTTCCTGCTAGAAACAAATATAGTGACCAGGACTTTGCAACTACCTTCAAGTAAAAGACACAAGTTGTGTATGTGTGTGCACTTTAAACAATTAGAACTCAGCAATTACATTGATAGAGATGGTTTAAGTACTGTATATAGCATCAATTCAGTAAAATTCTTTGGTCTCTTTTTAAAAAATAATATTCAGGATTAGCTTAATATAGTACTAGTAAATGGTTTATTTACTTTGTCAAGTATATTTATGAAGGCTGGCCTTAAGTTAAATTTAAAATAAATAGATGCTATTTATTGAATTCTAAACACATGTGAAGTCCTATGTTGACTATCTTATTTCAGTTTATCAAAAATCCTGGGAATGTAAAATTGCTATGCTCATTTCATATTACAAGTTCAATAGCTCTTAATCTTTGGGAGATTATTTAAGAGGTCAAGCCAGCATTTGAACTCAGATTGAAGCCCATAAACCATGGACTCTTCCATATACCACGTCACTTCCCATAGAGGGAGGCAGCCTCCAAGATGGCGCCAGTGATCCCCACCTGTTGGTATTCATGACCTCATGTATTCCCCTCCCACAATGAATAGGGCTAACCTGTGTAACCACTAGGATACTGCAGAAGTGATGGTGTGTGGCTTCTGCTTCTGCCTTGTTCTCTCCTGGATCACTTGCTCTGGGGGAAGCTAGCTGCCATCATGAAGTGCTCTAGTAGCCATATAGAGAGGCCCACAGGTGAGGAACTGAGGCTTTCCACACACAGCCAGGTGAGTGAAACATCTTGGAAATGGATCTTCCTTCTTGAGTGCAGCCTCATAAGAAACCCTAAGCCAGAATCACCCTGCTAAGCTGCTCCTGGATTCCTGGCCCACAGAAAGTGTGTGAGATAAAAAGTGCTTATTGTTTTAGCTGCTAAGTTTGGAGAGCAATTTGTTCTCTAGAAATAGATAAATATTATATCATGATAGCAATTTCTTAAGTTATAAAATTATAAAGTAAAAATGAACTACTTAATAGTGAATTGAGCATTATTCTAATACCAGTTTTTAACTTGCTATATTTAAAATTAGGGGGTTTTTATTTTCAGATTTAGGGGTTCTAGGATATAAATTTTCATCTATTACTTTTAAAAGTAAAATTAATAAAATTTTAAATATTCCATCACAATTGTAGTTCAAAAAGAAAGCATGTAAATAAAGAGATCTTTGAAGGGAGTTCCTGCCATTTGCGAGTAATCCAAAATTTTATGTTATCATTGATGGATCATGGACTTCTTTAAGTCAGACCTAAATTTGAGTTAAGAGTCTTCAATTCAGCCCTGACCGGTTTGGCTCAGCGGATAGAGCGTCGGCCTGCGGACTGAGGGGTCCCAGGTTTGGTTCCGGTCAAGGGCATGTACCTGGGTTGCGGGCATATCCCCAGTGGGGGGCGTGCAGGAGGCAGCTGAATCGATGTTTCTGGCTCTGTATCCCTCTCCCTCTCCCTTCCTCTCTGTAAAAAATCAATAAAATGTATTAAAAAAAAAAGTCTTCAATTCAGATTTGAGCCACTAAGAACTGGGTCTTTGTTTTGTCCATTCCTATATCCCCAGCTCAAAAAGAGACTTGTTGAGTAAATGAACAAGAATATTCATTAAAACAAAACAAATGTCTGTGTGTAGAATGTGGCAGAAGTACATGACTACAGTATCATGAGGTGCCCAAACAAAGAAAACACTATAAAGAGCTCAGGTTGAGATTCTGTTCCTATAGAAATAAAATTAAAGCCCTAAGTCCATTCAACATGGTTATATTAAAAACTAGACACCCAGTGCATGAAATCTGTGCACGGGTGCGGTCTCTAGGCCTGGCCGGTGATCAAAGTGTGAGCATCTGGCATGGAAGGGCAGGTCCCAGCTGATCTCTGGGCCCTGGGCCGCCAGGCCCCTGTGTGCCCCCCTCTGCCTGAGTCACGGTGCCTGAGTCCCCATGCGGAGATGCGGTGAGCGCGGCCAGACACTATGGGCCCGGGCACAGCATGGGCCTCTGGGCCACCCAGAGGCACTGCACGGAAGCTGGGCGGGCAGCGTGCTCTCTCCCAGCTGGCCTTGAAGACCGGCTCCTGCGCGAACCCATGGGGAGCCCGACCGGCCCATGCGGTCCTGGCAGCTGTGGCCTGGCTTACCCAGAAGGGGCCGTGCGGGCTACGGGCCGGTCTCCTTGCAGGCACCCGGCACCTGAGCACAGGGGCTTCCCTGGCACACGAGCCCTGGCATCCCGGGGGAGGGTAGCAGGGGGAGTGAGAGCGAGCTCAGCAGATACCCCATATTCTCACTGCACCTCTGTCCCTGTCAGCCCCGCCCACAGGTAGCCGGAGAGAGGTCACAGCGCGTCACCGCATCCTGCCATGTTCCGTGCTGCCCCCTGGTGGTCAGTGCATGTCATAGCTAGTGGTCAAACTCCTGGTTGAACTCCCAGTCAAGGGGACAATTTGCATATTAGGCTTTTATTATATAAGATAATGTATTTATCAGGTTGGGAAACATTTCAAAGAATGATGCAAGCATGTGGGGAAACAAGATCACTCATCTACTTTTGGTGAAGGAATAATCTTGGATGTGCATTTCTGAAAAACAACTTGGCAAGATATATCATGCATAAAAATATTGTAGAACAATAAGTACAGATAGTGTAATCTTGTTTTTTAAAAAAATATTTTTATTTCAGAGAGGATGGGAGAGGGAGAGAGATAGAAACATCAATGATGAGACTCATTGATTGGCTGCTTCCTGCACACCTCCCATTGGGGTTCGAACCCACAACCCAGGCATGTATGTGCCCTTGACTGGAAACAAACTTGGGACCCCATAGCCTGCAGGCCAATGCTCTGTCCACTGAGCCAAACCGGCTAAGGTGTGTAATCCCATTTTTAATTAAACAAACAAATAAAAACAGAAGAAATATACACTCCCCAAAATGGAATTTGGGGCAGTTGGATTTCCACTTTCTACTTTATACATTTCTCTATAGCCTAAAAATTATATTTTATAGTGAATAGTATTGTTTATGTAATTCAAAAATAAACGTATTTTATTACCATATAATCCTAAAACGATCTCTGAAATAGATCTCTAGTTACTGAGAAAGAAAAAGTTATTTCCCACTTTTTTTGTGATTTTTAAATCTCAGGCAGGATGTATTCTCACTCACTAACTCTCCTCCAAGTACTTCACCGACCAGAAACCAGAGTAAAAACAGGCCCAAACAGTCACAAACCAACTGTACACAAATTCTTCCAGACAATAAAAGAAGAAATGTGTCTTAACTTGGTTTTATAAGGCCAGTGGAAACTTGATATCAAAACCTGACAAGTACATTAGCAAAAGGAAAATTCTAGGCCAAGTTTCCTTAAGAATATAGATACAAAAATCCTAATATATAGAGAGAATAATTCAAGAAATGCAGTTTGCTTAATATTTAAGAAATCAATTTGTCTCACCATTAGTAAATTAAAGGAAAAAGGCCTATAATTACCTAACTATATATAAAGAAAAAACATCTACACTAATAAAATCATAATATGCTAATTAGACCAGGTTGACCGGCCATCTTCCAGATGTCCGACTTCCTTCCAGACAAAGCCATGGTGGTGGGGGCCAATGCAGAGGCAGTTAGGGGTGATCAGGCCAGCAGGGGAGAGCAGTTAGGGGCGAGATCAGGCTGGCAAGGGAGGGCAGTTGGGGGCAATATCAGGCCGGCAGGGGAGGGAAGTTAGGGGCAAGATCAGGCCTGTAGGGGAGGGCAGTTGGGGGTGACCAGGCCGGCAGGGGAGGGCAGTTGGGGGCAAGATCAGGCCTGTAGGGGAGGGCAGTTGGGGGTGAACTGGCCTGCAGGGGAGGACATTGGCGGTGACTAGGCCTGCAGGGGAGGGCAGTTGGGGGCGACCAGGCCAGCAGGGAAGGGCCATTGGGGATAACCAGGCCGGCAGGGGAGGGCTGTTGGGGGTGACCAGGCCAGCAGGGGAGGGCAGTTGGGGGCATTAGGCAGGCAGGCAGGTGAGTGGTTAGGAGCCAGTGGTCCTGGATTGCGAGAGGGATGTCTGACTGCTGGACATGTCTGACTCCCTGTGGGATTGGGCCTAAACTGGCAGTAGGACATCCCCCGAGGGGTCCTGGATTGGAGAGGGTGCAGGTCGGGCTGAGGGACAACCCCCTGGAATGAATTTCGTGCACCAGGCCTCTAGTTTCTTACATAAAATCCAACATCTATTCAAAATAAACATTTTTGGCAAACAAGGATAGAAGGAAATTTCGTAAGTTTGATAAGTGATATCTACAAAAAGCCCATAGCAAACATCACACACTTAATAGTGAAATGTTGAAAGCATAGTCTCAGGTGGGAGTAAGGCAAGACTGTCTGCCATCTCTATAGTTATACTAGAGGCCCGATGCATGAAATTTGTGCAAGGGACTCTGCCCTTGGAGCTGCGGTAGCTTGCCTCGGCCCTCGCAACCCCGGCTTCGTCCAGAAGGTTGTCTGGAAGGACATCCGTAAGGTCGTTCGGCTGTCCAGTCTAATTAGCATATTACACTTTTTTTATTATAGATAACACCAGAGGCCCAGTGCACGAGAATCGTGCACTGGTAGGGTCCCTAGCGGCTGCCAGCCAGGGGGCCTCCTTTCCCCTGGCTGCCTGCCCCGTTGCTGATGCCCATCATGTTCCATGTCACCCCCTGGTGGTCAGTGCACATCTAACTCTCAGTAGGTTGAACTTCCACTCAAAGGGACAATTTGCATATTAGCCTTTTATTATATAGGATTACTAGAGGCCTGGTGCACGAATTCGTGCATGGGTGGGGTGCAGCTGGCTTGCCCTGATCAGGGCTGATGGGGCTGGGCTGGCAGGGTTGAGGGGCTGTGCACAGTTGACCAGCCGGCTCCACCCCTGATTGGGGTCGGGGGGAGGAGTTGTGGGCCCTTGGCCGGCTGGCTCCCCCCCTGGTTGAACTCCCAGTTGAGGGGACAATTTGCATATTAGCCTTTTATTATATAGGATACTGGGGTCTCAGCCAGTGCAACAAGGTAAGATAAAGAAACAAAAAGTAGAAAGACTGGAAAGGAAAAAAAAAAAACCCTATCATTATTCAGATGTTATAATTAGTCTAAAACAATTCAGAAATTTTAGAATTAAAATGTGAGTTGAGCAAGTTTACTGCATACAAAGTCAATATATGAAAATCAATTGTATTTCTATATAACAGCAATCCTTAGAAAATGGAGTTTTTAAAAAGATGCTATTTATAATAGTATCATCAAAATATAAAATATCTAGGAATCCTATATAATAAAAGCATAATATGCAAATAGACCAAATGGCAGAATGACCTGTCGTTATGACACACACTGACCACCAGGGGGCAGATGCTTAATGCAGGAGCTGCCCCCTGGTGGTCAGTGCACTCCCGCAGGGGGAGCGCTGCTCAGCCAGAAGCTGGGCTCATGGCTGGCAAGCCCAGCTTCTCCCACCTCTCCTGCCTCCACTCCAGGCAGATGGTAAGGAGCAAGGGGTCCTGGACTGTGAGAGGGATGTCTGCCTGCCAGCTTAGGGGGATCGGGCCTAAGCAGGCAGGTGGACATCTCCTGAGGGGTTCCGGACTGTGAAAGGGCACAGGCTGGGCTAAGGAACGCTCCCCCCCACCCACCCAGTGCATGAATCTCATGCACTGGGTCTCTAGTAATCTAATAAAAGAACAAAATCTTTACTAAGATTACAAAAATACTAGAGGCCTGGTGCACGGATTCATGCACGGGGGGCGAGGGGGAATCCCTCAGCCTGGCCTGTGCCCTCTTGCAATCTGGGATCCCTTGAGAGATGTCTGACTGCCGATTTAGGCCCGATCCCTACAGGCCAGGGGATCGGGCCTAAACCGGCAGTCAGACATCCCCCAAGGGATGTAGCAGTGCGCCAAGTGGCAGGTGCCCAGGGAGGAGCCTGAGCTGGGGCCAGGCACCAGGCCACTCACGCTCATCCCGGCCTGCTGCGCCTGCCACCGCTGCTTGGTAGCACCACCGCAGTGTTGAGAGAGGCTCCCGCCACTACAACTGTGCTCGCCAGCCATGAGCCCGGCTTCTAGCTGATCAGTACTCCCCCTGTGGGAGTGCACTGACCACCAGGGGGCAGCTCCTGTGTTGAGCGTCTGCCCCCTGGTGGTCAGTGCGCATCATAGTCGTCCTGGACATCTGACATAACGGTCACTTAGGCTTTTATATATGTAAATTATTGAGTAGAATTAAAGAAGATATGCCATATTCATGGATTGAAAGAGTCAATGCTGTAAAGATGTCAGTTATCTCCACATTGATTGATATATATTTAATACAATTCCAATCAAAACCCCAGTTGGCTTTTCTGTGTGAGTGGAAAATATCAGTGGTTTCTAAAATTTATATGAAAACGAAAAAGGGAAGGAAGACCTGAAGACTTCTTATATCACTGAGGTAAAGGAAGACTTATTCTACCAGAATTCAAAACTTCTGATGCTTTATAAGAAAGACAGCGCAAGGATATATAAATAGCCCAATGGAACAGTACTGAGTCCAGAAATAGACTCATGGGTACATAGATACAATATGTGGCAAAGAAGGCACCAGAGTACTTAAGAAAAGATGCCCTTTTTAATAAATAGTGCCATGTCAACAGGATATTCATATAGGAAAAAATGTTCATCTTTATCTGTATCTCCATATAGAAAAGTTAATTCCAGGTGGTTTCTAGATTCTAATGTAAAAGGAAAAACAAACTTTTAGAAGACACTATAGAGGAAATCTTCATGCCTTCAAGGTAGTGAAAGTTTTTTAAAGAGGCCACAAAAAGTATTAATCATAAATGAAAAACTGATAAATTGGACTATAACAACAAATGAACTTTTGTCCATCAAAAGATACCTTGATAAGAGTGAAAAAGCAAATCACAGAGTGAAAAATATGCAACAAATATGAAGAATTCCTATAAAAATTAAGAAAAAGTCAGCAAATCAGAAGAAAAATGGGCAAAGACCTGATCAGGCACTTCACAAAGGGGATACCTAGATGGCCAGTAAACATTTGAAAAGGTACTCAATCTTTATAAGCCAGCGGTCGCCAACCTTTCAGACCTCCGCAGATCACTGGTTGGCAACTGCTGCTCCAAAGGTTTCCTTAAACCAGCAGTCGCCAACCTTTCAGACCTCATTGACCACCAGTAGTCCGCGGACCACCAGTCGGTGACTGCTGTTATAAGCCATCAAGGAAATGCAAAGTAAATGAGACGTCATTATATACCCACCAGAATGCTTAAAAATAAATGTAAAAATATGGATATACAAGCATGAGTACTGATAATACTGTTGATTGGAATGAAAATAGGTACAACCACTGAGGAAAACTGTTTGACATCACCTATTAAAGCTCAGTACGCACCTCAAGTGCCCATTAGTAGATGAGTGGACAAAAAAGCTGTGATACATTTATACCATGGAATACTATGCAGCAGTACAAAAGAAGACTGTCTTACCCTTTGAGACAGCATGGAGGGACCTGGAGAGTATCATGCTAAGTGAAATAAGTCAGTCAGAGAAAGACAAGTATCACATGATCGCACTCATATCTAAGTAACAAAATAAACTGATGAACAGAGTGAATTCAGAGACATGGAAGCATGGAACAGAGTGTGGAATCTCAGAAGGAAGGTGGGGGAAGGTGGGTGGGTGGAAGGTAATCAACCAAAGACCTTGTATGCATGTATGCATAGCCCATGGACACAGACAATAAGG